TGAACGTCCCTGCCTGCAGCCTGAACGTCCCTGCCTGCAGCCTGAACGTCCCTGCCTGCAGCCTGAATGTCCCTGCCTGCAGCCTGAATGCCCTGCCTGCAGCCTGAATGTCCTGCCTGCAACCTGAATGCCCTGCCTGCAGACAGCCTCTCCACCTGGGAGCATTGTGTACCATGCAGCAGACGCTGCCAGGGAAGTCTGAGCCCTGGCTCCAAATCTTGCCCTGTTCGGACTCGGCCTGAGGACACGGAAGGCAGACGTCTCCCACCCGAGAACTATCTCTCCACAATATGCCCTGCGAAGCTTAGCAGTCCCATGAGCTAAGCCAGCCCTGCACAGGTCACCCTCCATCCCAGACGGACAGCAATCTTCCCTGAAAACGAACCCAGTACATTTTCATTGGCTTTTGGTATAAAAATGGGATTTAAAAAAAAATTTATTCCTATTCCCCATACAGTGATGAGAGCTTCCAACCATAGTTCCAGCCTTGTGGTCGGAGTAGCTGGAGGGTAAGAGCGAATGTCCCCTTTGAAAGCTGTGTGCTTCCACCTGAAACGGCGAAGGGCCGTCTGTGGTTCCCAACATTAGTGCCCAAAAACATTGGTTCCCAAAAGCTCAGGCTTTTCAAGGAATGAGGAAGCTGATGGCTTGGTCTTGTTCAGAATACCCATCAAGAGAGGCTTTACACTCCGGGGAAGTGTTGTCTAAAGGCTGTATTGCAGAATAGTCTGAAAAATAGCCTTTAGAGCTACTTCATGGAATCAGAAACCTTTGAAGATGTGGTGCCTTTGTGCTTCTGCTGTCCTCAGGACACTGAGTACGTGTGATGGATCATGGGCTGGAGTAAAGGTCTTCCCATTCCTTCTCTTGGGTCACCTTTAAATGCTCTTTCCCAGGAGAACTTCGTGCAACCAGCGGTGGTTTTCCAGCCAGGGAACGTGCCGTGGCTGCCCAGGTGGGATCTGGTGTCCCTGGACTGAGCAGAGGGAGACCTGCAGAAGTGGGGAAGGGTCTGGAAGTGCTTTGGGATGAAGAGGGGGTTCATCAGGATCCATGGGGAGCTGGGAATATGGCAGTACAGGAAATCTAGGCACAAGTCCGTAAGAAAGCAGTCATGGTTAGCACAACTAGCAAAGCAACTCGTTTTAGTGGGTGAGAGGCCACTTCCAGCTGAAAAGCCTTTTGGTTTTGGGTGGAAAACTGCATGGTATTGCAAATTTCCATAAAAAAAGTTGTCTAGTTTTACAAAATTGGGGAAAAATGTTGAAAATCTGATATTCTGAGGTTCATCATTTTTTCACTTGGGCTTTTCCACCCAGTCTTAGTGTCGGATTACTCGCTGGTTTGCCTTAGCTTTCTTTGCAGAGAGGTTGACATTATGGGCTGTACAAGTTAGGACCCTGGGCACAGCATTCCCTGGATATTTCCTATATGATTTCCATAGACGGCCCATAGATTTAACTTGACATCAGAAGACTCCTTAAACAACAGACGGGTGTATAATGAGATCCAGTAGCTGGATGTTGAATTCAGAGGAACGATTCCAGTGGAAATAGGATGCTAATTTTCGAGACGAAGCGTAATTAACCATTGGAACAATTTGCCAAAGGTTGTGGTGAATTCGCCGTTGCTCGGGGCGTCCACGTATTGAGATTGAATGTCTTCCTACAAGATATGCTCTAGTTCCACCCTACGCCCCTGTCCAGCACTGCTCATTTAAGGCATGCTGCGGGGCTTTTTGGAAAGGGCCAGTGACTCTCACCGACTTTTCATCCAACCTTGCCGTAGCTGAGAAGAGATCAGCCTTCTGCCCTGGGAATGGTTGAGTGAAAGTCTTGGGCTAGACGCGAGGTCAGAAGAAAAGGTTATAAAAGCCCACCCTGGCTTTCTGCATCCGTAACGCGTAGGGAATACGGCGGTGAAGTTATCTCCCCGGAGCAGAGATTATTGTAAAGATTTTAATGGCTACCACCACAGAAAAACGTAACGCTACTTCCAGCTGCAGCCAGCTCTGCTTTGCAGCACGATGAAAATGTTTACTACCTTTTAAAGCTCTGTTTGTGTTCTGCAAGCCCAGCGTTGCTTCCATTGCCATTAATTCTAATTACAGCTCGCTTTCTGCGCTGATTGATAATCCTGCTTGGCTTTCAACACTTCGTTAATACAAATTCATAGCTGGACAGAAAACTTGCTACCCTCCAGAATGCAACCAGTCAAATCATAAAAAATAGGAGTATGTTGGAGGATAGACTCTGAAAGACAAATGGATGGATAATTAATTCAAAGGTTATATGTCGCTGGAGGCTTTTCTAATGACTTCTGGTAAACTGCCCTTTGCTCGCTTGATTTACAGCATTATTAGAAATCCGCAGTTGGCAACCTGCCTTATAATTTGCTACACGTTGCAATTTATCAAGATGCCTTCGCTCAGACTTTACTTTTGTTCTGTTCATTTTGTTGTTGGGCTTTTTTCCCCCCCTTTTTTCCCCCCCTGTCCCTCCAAGGATCTTGCTGGTAACTCACACTGCGCTTTGTTTCCAAAGTTGTTTTTTTTTTTTTTTTTTTTTAAAAACAGTGACAGAGTGATAGAACATCCTGTACCAATTAAATTCAATATGCTTGGGAGGGACTTCCAAACGGCCTAGTATGTGGTCGCAGGGGTTTGAATCAGAGCTACTTTAAATATAGCTCTTTCCAGACGACCTAAGCATGCGTCTCCGTCTGTGCGTTCATTGTGGTCTTGATAAGCAGCGTTCACGCAGCTTATTCTTTTTCACAGAGCTGTCATCTTCTTTCAGGGAAGGAATTGCACGTGTAACAGGCTAAAACACTGTGGCACCTCGTTTTCCGTGGCAGCCCCCTACTTCACCGTGCAGGAACGGGGACAGTAGAGATCCCAGGAAACAGGCACTGGGGTGTCTGCTCTCAGCAGCAAAACCCACGCCAAACGCTGACGCTGAAACAGATGGCTGAGGCATCGAGGGGTGTGGAAAAGGCAGGGAAAAAACCCCCCCAGCAATAGGTTTGCTTTTCTTGACTGCCTTTGGCAGATTCTTTGGAGATAATCGAGGGACCTGCAGGCTAGGTTTGTGCTAAGAGACTACACCGGGATGGGGCAGGGCTCGAGAACCGTCCTCGTGCTGTTCAGCCCCGCTGATGGCTGGCGTGATCCTGGGTGCAGGGTTTGGCCCGTGGAAAGCAGCGCTCTCCAGAAAAACCTCACGGCACGGCTCGGTGGATGCTCGGGGACCGGGGCCAGGGCCCGTTTCCAAAGGATCCAACCCAACAGGCAGAGCGGATGAGGTCACCCGTTTTGGGGGGATCGCGGGGAGAAGGAGGTCAGGGCTTGGGCGGTGAATACAGCCTCGGGGTTTGGGGGGGAGCAGCACAAAGAGCGGGCGGAGGAGAGGGGGAGGCTGCAGCAACTGAGCAAAGGGCTGGACGTGTCTCCTCGCCTGCCAGAAAAGCACGTGGGTGCTGGTGGGGAGGTGCCAATGTCTTACAAGGGTGTGAAGAGGTGGAAATTTATCTTAAAAACGGGTGGAAGGAGAAATCACAGTCCAGGAGTGACTCCTGCTGCTCGGTGCTTGGTGCTTGTGACCAGTAGCCTCCACTGGAAGAAGGCAAGATCCATGTTTTCGTGTGCCTTGGGCTTTCTACCGTTGTTGCTAGTGGGAATGCAATTTTGGCTGGGGCTGGGGCTGGGAGCTTGGCCATCACACACCGAATACAGCCCCATCTGCAGTTCTGTGCCATGCCCCAAAAAACCCTCTACCCTCCACATGCCACCCTGCTGTACCTCCTTCAAATAAGCTTTTTTCCCTCCCCTCCTTTTTCCACCTCTCTAGAACTATGCTGCTATGAAACTGGTGAATCCTTTCCACTGAAGCTGTGCTGGAAAATGCCTGAAAGGTCCGGTGCCTGCCTGGGGATTTTGGAAAGAAGTTGTGGCTCTGCATTGGATCATATCAGCAGAGGGAGATGGAGAAGGAACAGCCTCCCTCAGGCCCTAGGCTGCTGCCAAAATGAAGATACAACTTACCCTGATGCCGTATGCAGAATCCCACCTACAGCACTCGCCTCGGAAGCAGCACGTAAACAATACCTACTCTGAATGATTTCTTATTTTACTTCTTTGCCTTTTTTTTTTTTGTTAAGCTGCTCTTATTTGTAAAGCTTGAATGCCAGTGCAAAACTGAAGAGGGTGGGGGAGAAAAGGGCCTTTTCATCGACAGTGCTTGAGCGTACAAAGACGTTGCAGACCTTAGCGGAGGAGTCGTGGGATGCTGGCGTAGGCAGCACGTGCAAGCCAAAACCTCTCAGGTTCTGAGCACACTTTTCTTTGCTCTCTGAACAAGCCCCTGTTTCCCTTTGCTGTGCAATGCGTCTTGTCTGCTTTCTACATGTCTACTGAAGATGAAATGCGCGGCACGGCCTGAAACCGTGGGCTGATACGTTGCCTTTCCAAAGAGAGCAAACCCCACAAGATACAGGACCCAGGGAAAAGGCTGAGATGCAAAACCTGGGCAGGAGTCGGTGGTAATTGCTAGATCAAAACTCCCACTGAATTGTTGCCTTCATGAAGGACTGCACAGTCTGGCTCATGGTTTTTGGAGCTTGTTTTCCCTCTGAGCTGCTCTTCCACCTCTACAGTCCCACGTGTCTCCCTTCACAACCAGTGGAAAGCAGAGCCGGGCTGAGCCCTACCCCCCGAGCAATCCTGGGAGCAAAGCGGTGCACGTGGACTTTGCTTTTCTCCTCTCCTGCTGTATGCAACCCCTGCAGCCGCAGTTTGGGGAAGGTATTAACCTTTTTTTTCCCTCCTGTGCTCCCAAACATGCTTAAGCAAAACTGCACCAACCAGACCACAACGCAAGCTGCGAACCTCGCTGCTGCTGGGCGCTAATGAGGCAGATAACCCACACCTTGGGCAGCAGGCTTGTGTGCTTTCTGCTTCGCGAACAAATTGTTATGAGACCTATCCTGCAGGTCTCGCTCAGCCTCCCGCAGAGCCGATGGCAGCTGTGACAGCACTGGGATGGCAGTGCCGGGACGTTTCTGCTGTTCTCTGTTCCCTTCTGTCCGTCTGTCTCTCTGCTGCTGCAATCAGGCAGCAGTGTGGACTAAAGGGAATTCTAGTGTGTTGTAGTGCTGGCTCGTGGCGTGAGAGGATGCTAACCGAAACAGCATTAGCCTCAAATTTTCTTCCTGCATCCCTGCATCCCGCAAGGAACCGCCTCCCTGCACAGGGGCATCAAGCATGAAAGCAGATGTCCTGCTGCTCCGGCGCCGCACGGCTTTCGCTGCGGTCCCTTTGGTGGTAAACGGATCTTTCCCCGCTGCTTTTTCAGCAGGATGAGACATGTCTTCCTCGGTTTCCTTTGTCCCCTGGAGCTGCGGCTACTCGGCATGACATGTGAGAGCAAGTAGCAGCGAAAAGTGATCCTGGGAGATCAGAGTTGCTCAGGACAAACCGTGCGAATGTAAGCTCCTGCCCTGCTCCAGCGAGGCACTTAAGCCTGTGCTTAGCAGAAGGCAGGGGGAAAAAAAAAAAGCCCATGCCTAATTGCTTTGCTGGATGGGGATGTAATGCGTTGAGAGTTAAATCCCCTTGTTATTCAGTACTGTAACTGCACCCAGATTGCGCAGGGCAGCTCGCAAGACGGTGCCTTTGACATGGAGAACGTGCAGCTATAAAACCCTGTCCTTGCTGCTGAGGTCTGGCTGATCCTGCATCCCTTTCCCGAAAGCTTGAGCGGTGAAGTCGGCTCCGGGCTTGCACACCCCACAGCGGGTGTTTCATTTTACCGGCACAATTAAATGCTTCAATTTTGCGTTTGTTCAGGTTTTCCCTAGAAACCTCTCAACCTCACTCACCTCCACACCCCCCCTTATTAGCCACTGCCAAACTACCAGGTCTTGGTGAAACTCTCCGTAGTGCTTTCTCCCTGAGGGTCTGATGAGCTGAGGACAAACGTTGCTTGCGTTTGCACCTTGATGAGATTTGGGGTTTATATTTTATGAAAATGTTGGTGTGGTGGGTCCTTGCACCTCTTCCACCATCATCCAGCTCTGCTGGGGGGGGTGTCTGCGTATCCTACTGGGTGCTGGCATGCCTTGCTCTCCTATCCGCAGTGGGAAATCGGGCCCATTATTTCACTTCCTTGCTTTGGTTTGCAGAGACTGTGAAATCTCCCGTCTTGGCATTATTGCTCTGTGACCCCTACCCGTTTCAGAAACAACATCTTGGTGCCAAGAGCCCCAAAGAGATGAGTGAGCCACGCTTGAATGCAAAACACTGCTTATATCTGGGTGCTCGTCACCCATCCTGTCAGAACAACCACTGTTTATCCCAGCAGAAACAAGCAGCCCTACCAAAACACACTCCTCTGTTACCTCGCCAGAGCCTCTACTGTTAATAAACCATATTTTATCCCCCAGCACTCACCAGCAGCTCTTCCCTGACAAACCAGAACAGGTCATCGGTGATGGGAGAGGAGGATCCAGGGCACCCAGTGGCGTAAGGGAAAGGAAAGGGTTACATCCCTGCATGCAATCCTCCCTGCTCCCAGTCCAGGCTGCAGGGCCAGTTTTCATGCCAAGAGGACTCTGTGGGACTGCGGTGGGTCAAAGCAGGTCTGAGCATCTGAAAACGCCTACTCGGTCCCCTTTGCATTGCTGCTTGAGCAGCCACATCCACCCGTTTGCCTGACTGTGGGCCCTCCATGGCTTGGTTACGTCTCTCCACCAAAGCCAGCCAGAAGGTAGGACCCATGCAGAGTATTCCCTGTGGCTCCCTGTTAGCCAGGGCTTTGAAACGGCTGGAAGATGTACGTATCACCTGTCTATGCCTTATATACAGTAATGCAAAATGCACTGTGGTTACAAATGAAATGCTCTGAAACCTTCTTGTTCCTGGTGTGTTTTATTGCGTTGACAGAATTACGGCACCTTTCCTCTTTGGTGTGGGAATGCAGAAAAAAAACCAACCAGCTGGAAGGAACAGGTCGGGGAAACGGCGGTTGCTGTGCTCCTCTTTTCTCACCTCTCTCTGGCTGTTGCAAGGGAGCAGCGTGGAGAAGGGGGGACAGATGTGGGGCTGGGGCTGCAACGCTCGTGGGTAGCGCGGCCGCTCGTACCTCTGCTGGTGGTGTTTCGCACCTGAATCACTGCGTTGCAGAACAGTGAAATGACCCAGATGCGGTATGTGCATGCTCTTGTGAGCGGTCCCCTGAGCCGTGACACCGTGCAGGATTTGTGTGGGGGTCACACGCCTCGTCCCGTGAGCTCGGAGACCGTGTGTGCCAGCTCACAGGGCTCATCGGTGATCTGGAGCATCCTGTAAACCAGGAGGAGGCACACGCCTGTGAGTGGGGTGGGTGAAGGAACCACGGGAAGCTCATGCTGCCGGTGGCTTTGGCATTTTCCTCCCAAGTCACTCGCAAAGAGGTTGACGCCCGCTTCATTTATAAGCTTGAACACCCAAAAGATGCTCATTGAAAGCCAGGGGTGGCCGGAGATGAGGTGGATGGCTGGGGAATGAGAGAGGGCAGAAGAATCCCAGATTTCACCCTCCTGCTGCAGCGGGGAAGGCAGAAGGAGCTCACCCCATCCAGCGGCTCCGTGCACGTAGGCACATCTCTGTGTAGATGCTCATTAGTCTGGGCCTGAGCTGCTGGAATGTGAATATCCAGATCCTTCTCTGGGCTCGATCCCAGAAGCTCTAAGCCCAAGCGAAGACCTTTCCCCTGCTTATCTCTGCACCTTTTCCCATTTCTGGATGTCATTCAAAGAGCAGCAAGTCCCTTTGGATCTGGGTCTGTTTCTTCCCTAGAGGGGAGGGCTCGCCCGGCCAACACAGCCATCACCCAGTGACCCGAGGATTGAATCTCTGACACCTTTTTGAGGTGTTCAGCACCAATGGGCTGTGCCAAGGAGACGTCCATGTATGCAGAGAGACTGGCTGGTGAGATTGGGGCTGTTTGTTCATGCCCAAATGCCTTTGCATGGCTCTGGAAGGGTGCAGGTGGGCGCTGCCTGCTTTGGCACGGGAGACCCCCTCCACTGCATCACGTTTTGGGATGGTGCCTGGGATCTAGGGAGACAGGGGACAAGGAGACCTCAATGCCCTAGACTTCATCTGAGGAAGATGCAGGAGTTTGAACAGGCACTGTGAGCTGGCTTTGTCCAAACCCAGTCTGCCCAGCCCCACAACAGCCTCTCACACCCCACACGTCAGCGGGAAGTCCCGGAGCGGGACCAGCCGTGTCACCATGCTGAAGGCGTGAGAGAATCGGTCCTCGCTGAGGAGGAGCGGGCGGCAGGAGATGAGGGGACAGGTCTGGCCTGCATGCCTGTGTCCACCCGTGCGTGGGTGTGTGCAAAAGTTAATTGCAAATTGTTCCGCTGCTGGAACACGTTCGTGACGTTTGTTTTTCTATTATTTCCTCAGCCTCCAACTTGGTGGTGTGTATAATTTAAGGCTGGAGTTGTGAAGTGCGTGAGCTCCTTCGGGGATGCCCTGACAACACCCGGTTGTGTTTCACACTGCGCGGGCTCAGCCCCGTGAGCCGGCGGGCAGCGAGACGTGGAGCTGGAAAGCTGCCACCCCCCACAGGGGCTGAACTGCCTTAACCTCCAGCAGGCTCCCTGGCACGTTCAAAAAAACCCCAGCAAAAGAGCTGAACTGATTTCTCTCTTCCATAACAGCAATTTCGTGTTCATGGCCTGGTCTTATTTGCTCAGAAGAGAGAGGTTTCCACCCAGAAGGGTGGCTTGCCACGGAGCGGTTTGAGGGGAGGGAGGTGGTGCAAGGGCGAGGGGGATGAGGGGTGGGACCCAGATCGAGGTGCTGCCGTAAAATCGCTTTGCGAAGCCGCTTGCAGTT